GTTTGGGATATTCTGCCTTGATTTTCACTCTATGTGAACAATCAGGAGTTGAATCCCATAGAAATGAAGAGAGGTTACGACCTCAGAACCCAATTGGGAAGCACATGATTCAAAGGATAGAATCATTTGTTGAGTCTAGAGTGGACGAAGGGATATGCCCTCTACATCTGCTGTAGGGGCATCTACTTCTAGTGATGCATCGTTGGAAGGTGTTATGGATCGGCTTATGATTCAACAATATGATATTATTAATATACAGACTCAGTTGGGAGAGACAGATGCAAGGAATGCATATAATGATGAATATCAGCAGAGAAGAGTTCAACATGATGTAGATTTTCAAAATGCTATGGTTAGGCACTTTATGGGTGAACCTGACATGAACTTTCTTGTTTGCCCCAGCTTTGTTCCATATGCTCCCATTCGTGATGAAAATGAAGAAGCAAGAAAAGAAGAAGATGATGATGATGCTGATGATGGAGTGGAAGGAGATGAAGATTAATATTTTATGAGTCTTGCTTAGTTATTTTTGATGTGTTTATGTTTATATTAGGATGTACTTTTATTTGGAAAACTTGTTGTAGTAAACTTGTTGTAGTAAAGTTTTTATGTTATGTTGTGAACTTGTAGTTTGTAATAGTAATTGTAGACTTTCACTTTTTCTGCATTTTTAGTATTTTCAGTTTTTATTTTTTTTCAATTTTTGTATTTAAGTGTTTAATTCCCAACAAGTTCTTTAGAATATATTATGTTTTATTTAATGCTTTAAAGCCTGCATGTAGTTTTACAGTTAGCAGTACACCAGAACCAATTTCATGTTCAGAAATCCACTACAGGTTAGTTTTTATTTTCATGCATTTATTGTTTTCTTTCACCAACTATAATTTTGTACTAAAATGTTTTTAAAATCATTCAAAAATTTAAGTTTGGGGGAAAAGAAAATTTTCTTTTGAAATGGGGAAAACTAAATTTTATTTGTCCTTAAGTAACTATATTTTTCAAAATTTATTTAACATGACCTGAGATATTAAGATTTAACTTTAAATGATTATACTTATGTTTATAAATATTATAATAAATTTAGGTAAAGATTTTTAATAATGAAGGTTAATTCTAAAGTTAAAGATAATTGGTATGATATGATGAGACTATGCTTTTCTATTTTAAGTAAGGGAAAATTGTATTTTTAAAGTGTTAAGAATATTAGTGTTTCATGTAAGAAGAAAGAAATGAGACTTTATGAAAAACCATATACTAGTATAACTTTATTAAGTAAGAAGGGGTGTGGAGTTTTGACTTTAAGAAGAGGATGGTGAAGTTCAAAATTATTAAAGGCTATCCAGATATAGTAATCCTCACAAGAAAAAAAAAAGAAAAAGAAAGAATTAAAAAGATTCTAAGAAAAAAAGAAGAAAAAGAAAAGAAAAGAAAAAAAAAGGTGAGGAGAAGCTTGAGAAGATGCCTAATAAAAAATTGGTTTCACTTAAATCAATTTAAGGAAGAAGCTTTATTATACTTTCTAAACTTGTATTAAAGTATTGGTAGCATTTCTAGTGAAGTTTTTTATGAAATTATTTTTCATATGAATGTTCTAAATGTCCTTAGCATGATAAATTGCAATTCTTCTTGAAAAGAATAGAGATTCAGAAATCTTAAATTTGATTACTAGATATTCCTAGACTTGGGGTTTGAACCTAAGTTATTAAATGTTTTTCTTAAATTTTGCTATTATATTTATTGAACTAAAGTATAGAAGTGATAAGTTAATCTCTATCCTAAGGACATATGCTTTTATGTAATAAAAGTGTCACTTGAGACAAGTAACATTGAAATTTTGGAGATTTTGACCCACAAAATAAATATATTGTTTTAAGTACCATTTTTATGTCTATTTTTTGTGATATTGCACTTTAATGAAAGATATTTTTGTGTTTTTGTTGTAGGTATTTCATTTTTGTTGTAGGTATTTCATTTTTTGTTTTTGTTGTAGGTATTTCATTTTTAGGCATTTGGAGAAAAAATATCAAAAAGAGCAAAATTTGGAGCAAAAACAGCCAATTATGGGGTTTGACACATGATGCGCCAAAATCCAGAGAGCTGGCGCATGATGCGCCAAGCATGATATTTCATGCTCCACTCTGGCGCATGATGCGCCAAACGCAACTTTTTCAAATTAAGGCGATTTAAGACAAATTTTGCGCAAATTTTCAAAGGAATACTTGTTTTAAGCACCCCATTGAGTGATTCAATGCATGTTGACACTTTGGAAGGTTTCAATTTGAAGTGATTTGACCAATTTGAAGGGATTTGACAATTTGAAGGGATTTGACTCTTGGATCAAGGAGACATCTTTTAAAATTCAAAGTTTTGACTTTTGAATTTTGGATAGAATTTAGATTCTTTTGAGAAGAGAGAACCAACCAACAAAAAAGAACCTCTAGAGAGACTAGAAGGGGGGATGAAAAGTTAGAGAGAGAGAGGCGTGAGTTAGAGAGATGAATGAGGAGATTTTCTTCTAGGGTTGTAAGAGGACGAGAGATTTCTTAGATTTCTTCTTCATTAAACTTCTAAGAGAGAATTTGGAGAGATTGTAAGGAGAGAAAGACTTGGAGAGAACTTTTAGGGATTTGCTTGGGAAGTATTGTGAGATAAGTCATATTTTTTTATTTCTTTTATCTGTAAACTTGTTTTCATATATGAAATCCGTGTTTTATCGTATTCTTCTCATGAATTCTGAGTAGTCTTCTTTATCCTTCTCCCTACTTTGAAGAAATGGATTTGTGAAGAATTGATTTTATTTTCTATGGTTTTAAATGTTAATAATTTGTAATGATTTGAACTCTGATCTTCATTTACTTTTTTATCTGGCCAATTGATTTGTAAAAATGTGTTGAGAATTATATGTTCTGAAAAAGGGATATGATTTCTACAACAAAGGGAGAATCACATTTGATTTCATGGGAGAGTAATTCATTCATGAGATTGAGTGCAAATAAATAGGGAAATATACTTTGATGGATGTAGAATTGAAAGATTTTAAGGTGACAGATTAGAATCCCCAATTTGGTTCAGTGATTGGAAACTAATGCGAGCATGTTAGCCCTCAGGGGAGGGAGTAGTGAGAGCTCTGGAGAGACAGCTGATATCCTCCCAGCCTAACCACGAAATTAGGGACTAAACTCTGTATTAGTCAATGTTCTTTATAGCGCTCGGAAGAAGGTAGAGAATATGATTGCTCCTATTTCGCACAAAACAATTTTTAAATATATTTTATAAATGATTTCAATTTCTTCACAAGCCATATTTTTATTGTAAAGGGAAGGATGTTTTCTCATACTTGAACTTTTCGTCAACAAAAACCTTTATTTTATTTTAGCAATTTACTTTTGAAAGTTTAACATTTAGTTTAATTTACTTGTTATAGTCGTACGTCAGCATAGTTAGTAGCATTTCACTTAAGTAGTTTAATTTCAAACTTAGCACTTCACTTTGTTTTTATATTATAATAGAACATAAATAACTAGCTTATATATATTTCTAGCTTCCCTATCGGATCGATATCTAGGACTCCATTAGAGCCCTATATTACTTGGCGATACGTATACTTGCGTAGTATGTAAACGAGAATTGAGATTTTAAAGAGGTTTTTAAAGATAAATTATTTTCATCAAAATTATATTATAGTTTGGGTTACATTATTGCATCATTATTATTAAGCTTAACAAATTCCCGTCGCATCAGTCCACACCCATCGATCGTCGTTAGCCACTATCAACCATTATCGTCGATCACCACAAATCATTGTCAATTAGCACCAACCAGGCGCCGTCAATCATCGTCGTGAGACATGAGGTCATCACCATGGTCCATGTGTTAACAATGACCTACGTTGTTCTTAGCTCATGCAACTCCTGACTCTGGTCCTCACGGCCTACGAACGTCATTCATACTCGCCCCTACGACCTACCTGGTTCATAGCTCGAGTAGCTCCCGACTCTGACCTCCGCGGCCTACAAACGTTATTCATACTCACTTAAACGAACTATGTGGTCATTAGCTGATGCAGCTCCCGACTCCGGCCCCGCGGCCTACGAATATCATTCTTATTTGCCCCTACGACCTACGTGGGCTCACAACTCGTGCGGCTCTCTACTTTGGCCCTGGCGGTCTACGGACGTCATTCATACTCGCCACTACGGTCTATGTGGTCCACAGTTCCCGTAACTACTTAATACAATTTATTTGGTCAATCAACGCTTCTGAAGCAACCATCTACAACACTCACAATAAATTACTACCTCAACAATAATCAACAATGATCATTGCAATATGCTGTCTCTAAGAACTGCAACCAGATTATAATTATGCAACTTTGTAATTCCATCTTCCCTAATTTAGGGGAGTAATGAACCTGTGTACTCATCATTCATACTGAATTATTTCAACTGGGTTTGACCCCATGATTTTTCTTCATTTCAAGGGTTTTCCACGTAAAAAATTGAAGTGTCACTTTTTGCTTACTCTTTTCTCTGTGTGTGTTGAATTCTCCTGAAACGCTAAGACGATAATTCATTACTCTACCACTACGAATTTTCTGTCACACATCAACATGTATGTAAATATTCCTAAAAATTTTAAACTTTTATCTCAAACTCAAACGAAACATAAACAACTTATGATCTTACTAAGCTAAATCCAATTAATAACATTCTCAAACTTGACTCCACTTTATTATCATTTTATTTTTGGCTTACCTATTTGGTCATTTCATATGCATATATACGTTGACCACCTCGCAAACAGTCGGTGCCCCGGCAATTTGGGCATGGCCGAGCCCGAACACGGGCGACCACCGTAAAATAACAAAAATACCACTGATGCAAGCTTGCTGGCAGACGATGGCTATCAGGGGCTATTCCGTCAAACCAAATTACAATTTATCATCAAATTCTAACGCAGAAAAATAATAATAAATAAATAAAAAAAAAAACAGAGGGCCCATGACAAACTATCCTCTACATCCCGAGCTTTCGTCTTCGATCGATCGGCACCCTTCCTCGTCGCCGTCGCTCTTTTCTCTTATTATCCATCTTCTCCTTTCTCACACCCTTTACTTCTACAATCACTATCGAAATCACGTTTCTCTGATCTTCATATTACTGTTAGTTTTCAACCTTGGCTTTTATTTTTTTCCCGGCTGCGGCGGATTCCGGTGAAATCTCTGGCGGTTAAAGAGCAGATGCCCGTGCTTTTCAGCGGCGGATTTTGGAAGTAGAGTGGATAAGGGGCTTATTCTCGGTCCTATTTGTTGATTCGATCTGCTGATTTGGAAATTAGGGTTTTGAAGGGTTATCAATATGCCGAGGAGTTCTCGTCACAAGTCGCACCGTTCTCATAAGCATAGTTCAAGAGATGCGCGAGAGCGGTCTGAATCTGAGGATGATGGGAACTCGAGGGATCGTAGGCAGAGAGTGGAGGAATTATGCTCTGGTTCAGCGGCTAGGGTTTCGAAAGATTCTGAGGCGGATAAGAGAAAGTCCTCATCTTCGCTACTTGCTTCACAGGAGAGGAATAAGGGCCTTTCTGAAAATGGAGATTGTTCAGCTGAACATGGCAGGAAGCGGAAAGAGAGAGGGGACGACTTTGCTACGCCTGATAGATGGAATGGTAGCGGAAAGGATGATGGGCTAGCCGAAAAGGTTTCTAAAGAAGAGGCTTTTGGATCCTTTGATAATGAGAAAGTGGAGAAGTCAAAAATTTTGACTGTTGAATCAAAGAGTAGGTCGAGTAGAAGGCGTGAGAGTTCTGCAGAGAGGTATGTGGTAAGCAGCAGCAGGTCTGAGTCTTTGAAGAGGAGGTCCGAGAAGGAATATAGCAGACGGGAGATTAGGGAGGATAAAGAGAGAGACATAGAGCGTGGTTCAGAGGGTGAAAAGGACCGAGAACGTGCGTCAGAGAGAGACAAGAGAGTTCAGGATGCCAGGCTTGGGAAATCTGATGATGTAGAGATGAGGAACCAAGGCTCCAGGAGAGGAGGTGCTGAGGAGGAGCGGTTGACAAAACAGGATAATACTGGTAAGGTAACCGGAACATTGGTTTTTTCTATTTAAGGTGAAGTTGTTATTGTACATTATGTTGGTAAGCTATCTTTGAACAATCCCTGAAGGTTTTTGTGTCATTAAATGTTGATCATTTCATATAGTGTCTCTCATCAATGCATGAATTAAGAAGCAGAAGGGGATGTGGTTTATCTTCGTTTTAGGGAGACAGTTTATTACCCTCTGCAAAGAATTTTGTTGTAGGAGAATAATAATATCAACGTGTTACTGGCAATATCAGTTTATCTGATTAAAGGCATTGATATACTTTTTTTACAAGAATGTGCATATCCTACATTAAAAAGCATTGAATTACTATGATATAATTGTCTATAATGTCTTGTGGCCTTGTATCTTCCTTCTAGCCAGTGTAAATGATGTAAGGCTCTTTTTCTCATGATGCTTAAAGCTTGCATTTTGAGATTTATCTAGGCTGGCACCATAGATGTTTTGGGCGTTCAGGAAATTCTCATTTATTATAGTGTGTGACATTTTGATTTCTGATTATTATAAAGCTTAAGTCTTTTATTATACCCTTTTTCACACTGCAGTTACATTTTTCACCTCGACATATGGCTTGTGCTCATAAATTCATTCTTGAAGGTGTTTTTCAAGCCTTTTGTTCCCCTTTATATTTTGTTAATAATGTGTTTATTGGTGGTAAGTGGTCTTGAAGATGCTTTTAATGAATTAAATTGAAGAGAATATGTTTGGTTTGGTCGTGTTCTATGAAGATTAGATGACAAGAATTCTCTAATATGTTAGGTGATCATTTAAACTTGTATTATTTATATGGAAATGAGTATGTTTTTTGTATTTTTTTTAGTGAAATTAGAGAAAACAAGATTTAACATTTTATTCCGTTTCTTTTAGCCTCTTTTGCAAATTTTTTTGCTTTTGTGCTATAATCATGCTATATCAAGTTAATCTTTCTGATTCTTCAAGCATTCATAAGATTGTGGGGGACTTTCTACAATTTCCTTATCATTATCTTTTTGTTAAATGGTATATTTTTTCCTCTTGACCACACGTAGTTGGATTAAGGATTTGTTGTTGTTGTTGTTGTTGTTGTTGTTTTATATTTTTTCCTCTTAGTGAATGCTTTGTAGAAGTTCTTTGTAATAGCAGAGGCTTCGTAGAGGCACACCAACGTAGGTTTGTATAGTTGAGGTGTTTAGGAAAGTCAGTCAATTCATTTGGAGTAAGAAACTATAAATGGATTAACATGTTTTAAGCAAATTATTTAATTACTTTTGTGAAGAGAACCATAAATGTAACAGGAAAAAGGGAAAGATAATTTGTAGCATAACTTTTTAGAGAAGGCAACTTATTACATGCTTGGTACAAATGAAGGTGTTGCCGCAAAACTAGATTGAATGGAAGGCATTTTCTTTTAAATTAGTTCTAGGCATTGTTCTTAAATTCCTCTTATCTTCTTGAGTTTTGATCCTTATTCAAGGTCTTGTTCAGTTTTTCTATGCCAGAAAAGCTTGTGAAAGTAAGCCAAGTGGAGATATTGTTTCACCTACTCCAAAGAAAAAAAGAGCACCCCGTGTCTGGCAACTGCTTGTTGGTTTAACTTAAATCATGAGTCGAGAGCATACTGGATGAAAACACTGTTTTGTTTTTTACTTAATGCATGGTCTTTGCTATAGGTTTTCATTCTGCTTTTAAATGTATTTATTTTGCACTAAATAGGACTTTATTCAAAACAATGTTACTCCTATGGTTAGCCAATTTTTTTTTCCCATTTTTTTATGTATAATCATAAATTCTTGAAAACATTTTTTACTCTGAAGCTTTGTTAATATTTTGCATTGTTATTTTTCTTGTAATATGGTGCATGAAGTTTCAGATTTCAGTAGTTTAATTTCTCTTTGAATGGTAATGCTTGTTGGGTTCTGTAATTAGTTGTTTTAGGATTTTGCTTGTAGTTGTTTGACACTAAAGCTCTTAGAAGTTCTAGGTTATGGTGAGTTGAATTGCCCTGGCTTTTCATGTGCTGGTGTTTTGAGAGCCAAAGTTTCAAAATTTTGTATATGTTGAGAAGAAGATATATTTTTCAACATAAACATAAATCTAAGCTTAAGGTGAATGTTAGTAAATTTGTTCCGAAATTAGTTCTAGAGTGAATGTTGATGTTCTATGTAATTATGGAATGACCTTGGAATTGCTATGGTGTTTCAAATGCTTTGCTTCTTTTGTTAGTGTAGTACTGGATAGCGCATTGAAGAACTTTTATTTGAAATTGAACAATGCATTTTAACTTTACATGTGATTTACAGAATTTATGTTTTCTAGTTTTGCTTTATTACATCCTTTTGAAATTGTGATTATAAATGGTTTGCAGAATTTCAAACTCGTGAGGATATGCACAATGCAGAATTAGAGAAAGATTCTGAGAAATATACGACTAAGAGGAGAAGGAGCTCTGGTGGCTTTGATAAATGGCATGATGATGGTAAAAACATTGATGAAAGGCGGTTATCTTCAAGGGATGATCACCTCAAGAATGGAGGCCATAAGGTTGAAGGGAACAAAGATGAAAGGTATAAAGATGATAGGTATAAAGATGATAGGTACCGAGACAAACATTTCAAGGATCTTGATAGGGATCATAGACATCGTGATATTAGGCACAGGGAAGAACGCTCTTCAAGAGATTATGCCAGTGACAGGATTGAGGGTAAATCTGTCAGGGACAGAGACAAACCTGTTGAGAGTTATTCCAAGAAAAGTAAGCTTCATGGTAGCGACCGAGAATTTAGTCCACGTGCGGAGGATCATTTAATCAAGACAAAAGATACTGGGGCTCAGAAAAGTTTTTATGATGAAAATGATGATCATTATGGCTCAAAACATAGAAATGTCAAGGAAACACGTTTGGATTTGGAAAAGGATGCATCCAATTCAAGTAAGATAGAATATAAACATCAGGGCAAGGTTGATTCTTCCCTGTTGAATAACCTTTCAAAGGGTTCTCTCAGCCCAAAGGCTCATAGTTCGAATGATCACAACAGGTTTCTTCTTCTATTGTAATAGCTTTTGTACATAAATTTTTTGTTATCTTCCTCCTTTTTCTAAAGCTTTTGATAGAGCATAGCTTATAGTGGGCTCCTTGTTGAGTTAGATGTTATGCACATTTTAAGTCCTGCTGCTGCTTACCTATTTTATTGTGTTTTCTTTGGACTTATGTGGTTATTTACTGTAAGTTTGTCATTTAAAAAGTGCGCAAGTAAATGGTGATCAGTTTATGACATATTGTGAGTTATGAGTGCTCCTTATCTCTGGATTCTAATGCAAAGCTGATTCAAATTCTGTGAAAATGCCCTCTCACAGCAACTTTTTTAGTACATCTGATTTATACTCCTTGTTTTTGGGTTGTTGTTTGGTAGTGAGGGATGGTGTTAGACTGGTCAGATTGAGATGAGGATTGGGTTGCTTTGATGCTAGAAAAAACTAAATTGATGGAAGAGGAAGGAATGGACATTCTTTTTGGTTTTAGGACATTCTCTCTTTATGGTAGCAAATTTTAGCAAATTTTGTTATTTTGTTAAAAAGGCAGCGAAGTAAGTACTTGAACTACCCTTACATATTTGAAGATAGAGCAGCAGGATAGTGAAATGGGGAATCATTGATTGTAATTCTTGACTCTTACTTTTTTTTCATCTCATTGTATATATTTTCTTTATTGTTCGTAGTTTTGCAACATATAAATTCTTTATTTTTTTTGTTTTTGCTATGCTTAAACTTTATTTATTTGGCCATATATGACTTTTGATCTCCATTACATCTGTTTGTTTTTTAGTTATTTTTTGCATTACATGGATATTCTTTTATTAGTTGGTATGTCATATAATTTATCTTTGTTTTTCAGTGTTTTCAGTGATCATCCTTTGACCATGTTTAATACTTTTCTTCATTAGACTTTAATTGCATTATTATAGTTATTAATTGATTTTGTTAAAGCTGTAAAAGATGGTTTAAATTTTTATTAATATGGAACAGGCGAGGTTTAAAAGTGGAGCTTATAAATAGAGATCCAGTAGCAGATGACAGAGTTCGCCGTTCTGAAGACTATGAGAGAGTTTCAGTTGTTCATGAGAGAGTTTCTGAGTCTCTTTCATCAGAAAAGATGAAGCATAGAGATCGAATAAAATCAGGTGAATTATTATTTGGAACCATGTCTTTACTTTTTGATTGAAGCTCAGAATTTGCTGGCTATGATTAATTCTTCTATGTGTGTTAGATTGTTCTCAAGTAGCTGGGACGAATTAATGTAAGATGAAGAACAAAAGGACCTAATACCTAAAAGAATTCTTTATTGCAGATGACAAGGAACGGAGGTTATCACTGGAGAATCTAAATACGGACAACCATCTTCAAGCTGATTTTCACAATAGCGAACGTGTTTCTGTTCCCCCATCACCCTTCAAGCGTACTGTTAATTTCCCTGGGGGCTCTCCTGGTCATCTTCGCTCACAGACGCCTATGAGACAAGGAAGAGAAAGCCCTTCCATCTATGAGGATGATAATAGAATCAAATCAGGGGACCGAAGATCCACTAGCCGTCACAAAAGAAATAATGATCCAAATATTGAAAGAGGACAAGGAGTGACTTGGAAAAACAGTTCAGCTTGGCCTGCTCCAGTTCCAAATGGTTTCATACCTTTCCAGCATGGACAACCAGCTCCTGGGTTTCATTCAGGTATCCAGCATTTTCCTCCATCCTTGTTTGGTGCAAGACCATATATGGAGATGAACCAAACAGGGATTCCCTATCACATGCATGAGGTTGCAGACCGGTTTACTGCTCATGGCCATCCGTTTGGATGGCATCATCCAGCAGATGATTCCTGTCCGCCTCAAATGCAAGGGTGGGATGGTAGTAACTCGTTTTATGGTGACAAATCACAAGTATATGTGAGGCCCGATTGGGATCAGAATAGACATCTAGTGGGTGGACGTGGTTGGGCATTAAATGCTGAAATGTGGAGGGGACAGCCTGGAAACATGAGTGTTGAGTTATCTGTTAATCAGGAAGGAGCTGACGAATCGAGAGGTGCACATTGTAGCCTGCAACCTAAGACTGAAGTTGACCGTCTGCAACATTTATCGGGCGACGCCTCTCAGTTGAAGCAATATACTGCTCCTCCTAATGATAAATCTGTAGAGGCCTCTATAGAAACTAAACTTGCAAAAACTTCTTTACCTTATCAAGGACTTAATAATAACAGCCAGAGCTTAAGCGTTTATCTATCCAGACTTGAAATTTCAGCTGATCTTGTATACCCAGAACTTTATAAAGACATTAGGAATATATTGACAGCTGGTAATTCAACTGTTATTTGCACTTCTTCCATGGATGAAAATACTAAGGTGCCTATTATTCTGTGCTGTTATGACTTGAAACTTCTTTTCTTCCCTTGATGCACGTTCATCCAATATTTCCATTTTTTTTTGTTCCTGACTGTTTCTCCTCTTACAGAAGAATAAAGTTGAAATTTTATCCAAGGTTTCAAAACTAAGTTCTCACATCCCAACTGCTGCGGATGCTGCTTTCAAGGTATTTTAGGTCAATCTTATATGTTCTGGATCTTTTCAAAAGTGATGTGGATTTTTTTATGCTGCGATATTTTTTGAGTTATTTCCAGAAGTTAGAACATATTTTATTGGTGTTATGGTGATCACGGGCCAAAATTTATGACTTTATTTAATGTTGTGAACTGTGTAATGTCCACTTTCTTAGTGTTGGTTCTTTTTTATGTAAAGAAACTAGGACTGTCCTCCTACTTTGCATTCATTTTTTTTGCCACCATTTAATGTAGGATAAATGTGCATGTGTATGAGAGATGAGGGAGGGAGGGAGGGAGGGAGGGATGATTGAGGTGAGGTGTTTGAATTATTGGAGAACTTGTTAATACTTTGTGGCCCTCTTTTTGGGAGAGGGTTTATTTGTATCGTTTTATTGTTAGTTTTATCCATGCATGTGTTAGAGGGAGTGACGGTGACTGATGGTAATGCTTCATGGGTTTGGGATTGTTAGGGGGGAAAGGTTGCAAACTCCAGATAAAGTTGATCCTAATTTTATTGAAATTATTGGAGAATAAGTTATTCTAATGAATTATCTAATTTAAGTTAATTCTGCTTTATGGATGGAGGGAGTCTCATGCTAAGGGTTCTGGTTCAACTCCCAAAGAAAGCCTCCTTTTTTGTTAGAATTTTTGGGATGGTATGTTGGTTTAACCTTGACCAATGGAGTGGAGTGAGTCATGCAGTTCGATATTGGGAGGGAAGTTTGTGCATTTTGTCTGTACTCAGCATTGGGAGGCGGTTTTGTTTTCCAATGCCAATGGTGCGGGTTTGATATTCTACATGAAATGATAATTTGAATTGAATCTGAAATTAGTTTTTGCTTCAGGTGATGCAGTTCGATATTGGGAGGGAAGTTTTGCATTTTCCAATGTGAGTCTTGGGAGACAGTTATGTTTTCCAATGCTATGGGGTTGGGGTTTGATATTCAACAGGACATGCTAATTTGAATTGAATCTGAAATTTAGTTTTAGCTTCAGGTGAACCCACGAAAAAGAAATGAAATAGGGTGAAATTGAAATCTGAACTTAGCCCATATGATGAGTTAACTCTACTTCATTTCAACACAAAAGCCATGTCTAGTTTTAGCTTCAAGAGACGGTTATGTTTTCCAGTGCTAAGGGGTGGGGGTTTGATATTCAACATGACATGATAATTTGAATTGAATCTGAAATTAAATTTTAGCTTCAGGTGAACCCACATAAGATTTAGTTTAATACTTACTAGATTAAATTTTTAAAAAGGATGAAATCCGAACTTATAGCCCATATGGAGTTAACTCCACTTCATTTCAACAAAAAAGCCATGTCTAATTTTTGTGCTGTTATTTTCAGATTGCCATGCTTTCATAAATCAGTTTGTTTTGTTTATTTCTAGTCGAGTTAAGAAGAGATCAGTGCAATCTTGTGTTGGGTTGGATACCCATGTTTTGTTTGGTTTTTCTACTCATTTATATTATGTAAGTCAGATTTGGATTTTTTCCATTTCATGTCTAGTCATCTTCATTTGGGGTATTACATACATATGACCTAATTCTTGTGTGTTTACATATCTAACACCTAAACTTCCATATTTACCTATATAACACTTTGTTTTCTAAACACGGTAGGTTTGCTTTACATAAACCTGATAAATTAACTTTCTTTTAACCGCCTCGGTGTAGATTTGTAATCGGTTACATCATATAGATTTACTCACTTTTAATAGTAAACGTCTGTGTTAAATTAATCAGCTTATCTAGCATTTTGAGTATCTGTTGTACATTTCAAAAGTTAATATAGACACGCACACACTCACATATTTTCTGGACATTACTGGATTATTTATTTCCTTGCTGATATCCTTTTCCTCTAACAAAACTCCCACTATTATTTTAACAATAACCTGCAGCAGATTTTTTTCTTAAAATTTTTAGTTGCTTTCTTCTCACAACATTTCAAGCTTTCTTGTCCCTTTTTTTTTAGCAAATTATATTCTGATCCTTATAAATGATATCTTGCCTGCTGAATCCTTGATTGCAGAGAGCCATGTCGGTTTATGAGAAGCAGCATAATGGAAGGAAAGCAAAGGTTTCTTCTTTAGTTTTTTGTTCAAAAGAAATGAATGCTTCTCCTGAAGCTACTAATGTGAATGAAAATAATGCACCTGATTCTTCTGTTCCCAAAGAGCCTTCATTTGCCAATACTATTTCCCTCAACTTGATGGAAAAACCGGGCGCAAATGAGAGCACTGCGAGGCCCATGGAAGAAGAAAATCTCAAAAACAGTCCTTGTGATCCCAAAACTTCAGCTACAGAAATGGAAGTTGATCATATCAAAACCAGTTCTGATGGTTACATTAAACATGAATCTGATCTTATTTCCGATGTTGTGGACAGTCCTCAGGCATGTGAGGATATAATGCCAGATTGTAAGGTAAATTTAAGTAGGATACATAACCCTCCTGAAAGTACACATTAAAACTAATCTTTCCCATGTTTTTTTTTTAATTGCCATTTGAGTTTGAGGGTTATTGGTCTTAGTTCTGGTTGCTTATGTTTCTGCCTGAATAAAACTTTTTCCTAATCTCTTATCTTGGGCATCATATCGTTGGAATTACATGGTTTGCATGTAGTAGACAGATGACTGTCTAGAATTTTTTTCCTTTTGGATATTTCTTTTCACGCATGCAGGCGCATGAATAACCAGGACTTAAGTTTTCTTTGCATGCACCTGCACACATAGAGGAAGCAGTGACACTTGCTCGAATTCCAAATTTATTTTCCTTTTACCTCGATTCTGATTTATGGTGTTTATTTTTTATGGAGTTAATATTATTCTGAAATAATCTGTCCGAAATCAAGCAAAATGATATTTTTTTACTCTTGCTTTTAATTTTCGGTTAGATGAAAATGAGAAGCCATAGTGGTCATGCTTTTTATTATTATTATTTTTGGATGGGATGTAGCGAAAAATTATTGCGTACGGAGAGCGTACGTAGAACTGCGTGCGCTCTTTGATCACAGCTGCACATTAACCATTCCTGTATACCAGTGGGTCCTATTTTTACTAAATTAAAAAAAAAAAAATTACAAGGATGGTTAATGTGCAGCTGTGATCGGAGAGCGCATGCAGCTTGAGTACGCTCTCCGTACACAATAAACTCTTGTGACTTGCCATTTATTGGCATCTTTTCAGCGAATTATTTTAATATTTGAAGGATTAGATGGATTCGAGCTATATGCCACTTACCGTTAATCACCATTGTATGCTTATATGGTTATAGGCAAACACATATATTAAAAAACACACATATATAAACATATAAACAAAAGCACGCACGCACCACCCAATTCCGACGTATTTACATATATAACAACTATATTTTATTTTATGTTTATGCCACCAAATGTTTCATATCACATGTAAATATCACTATTTTAACCTTCAATAATTAAACTACAACTTTTCATGTAAGGATAAGATGATGTTATATGTAAAATTGAAAGTTAGGTGTCGGATATATAAATACGTAGGAATTGATTGTTATGTGTAAGTCATATGTTACATGTACCACCTAATTCCTATGTAATCTCATGTCTAACAACTTTAGCTATGTTTTACATTTATTCCACCTAAATTCTTATATCATTAACATTGCTACTATTTGAATTGAGTGGTGTGAATTTAAATCTTCCATCCCCGCATTTATTGCATTTGTTTTTTCTGTCTGCTCTGTTTTTGATTGGATTGAAAATAAAATGAAATTTAATTACTTAGTCCTCTTTTTCAATGAATTCTGTTCTCTGTTCGGTGGTAGGCGTGTAGACAAATAGGGCAGAGTTTGAGCTGTCCTGAGTTTGGGCTTTGGCTTAATTAGTTAATTGAGTTTGAGCTCATGCTCAATGTACGAATTTAAGCTGGCTCATGAGAGATTTTTTTATTATAAAATATAAATAATAATAATAATTTAAGTTAATGTTATAATAAAATTACGTGAAATAAATAATTAGAAGATAAAATATAATAAAATATTTGTTTTAAATTATAACATATATTTTTAAATATTTTTAATTATTTAAAATAAAATTTCAAAATTTAATATATTTTGGTTATATTTTATATTAATTTATATTTTTTAAGCAAACTAATTCACTGAGTTAATTGGGTTTTGGGGTTGGCTTGACCATGACTGTCAGCTTATCAGAGCTTATCGAGCTGAGCCCGAACCTCTTTATCACAGCATTGTGATTCAGAACTTCATATTTATCCGTTCCTCTGTTTTCGTTAATATCTGCATTGGTAAAACATTTTTTTTTTAAATCTTTGTTTTCTTTTTTATCTTTTTTTTTTTTGGATAAAGTGAACATTTAAATTCGGCACTTTAAAATTTATTATTTTATTTCTAATTAATATGTTATAATTTTGAGCCATATTTGTAAATAATAAACTCGTAAATATTATGCATTCTAAAAAGGGAAATTTACATGTGTAGCACACAATTTGTTTTGTATTTGCATATCTTACACCTAAATTTTCATAGTTTCCGATGCGTGCTGGAAAATTCGCGGCGGTAGAGTAATCGATTATCGTCTTAGCGTGACACGAGGATTTAACGCACACTAAGATAAATGGGAAACAACCTGTGATGACACAAGAAGTTTTTACGTGGAAAACCCATAAAGGGAAAAAACCACGTGGCTCGACCAAATTGTAAAAATTCACTATAAGTTGATGATTACATTGACCCCTTGTCTTATAGATAGGAAATAGTTACTAGCTTTCCAAGTTACAATGTCAGTAGCGATGATAGTCGACGATAATCGATGACGGTCGGCATTGGTCGACGATAGTTGATGACAGTTGGCGGTGGTTGACGGAGGTTAGCGGTGATCAATAACGGTCGACGGTAGTCGGCGGTGCTCGGTGGTGGTCAACGGCGATCGACGATGACAGAAATGATGTTGGACTTGAGCTCCTTCTCAAAGCATCAAATTCTCTCTCCAGCCTCCCCCCTCATGTGAGGGGTGGGGCATAATTTAGTGAGCTTGGAGAATAACTAATCAGACATAACATAACCTTGCTTACGTTCACTTAACCTGATTTATTGAGCAAATCTCTTGACGTAAATGTTCTAATCAAATTCATTGAACCTGGTTTAAAAATATCGCAAATTAATTTAACCAAGGATTCTGGCTAAATTCTCTAAATATTATTGTTTGCCTAGACCTAGGAATTGGCTTCAGGACCTGCTTCATTCCACCCACTTAAAGACACAACCCAAGTGTAGTTTATTATTTATCTTGAAATTTAAATAGCTTGGCCTAGCCAAGCTAAGGTATACTACAAGTTGGATATGGTTACCATAAATTTATCTACTTAACCCACATGCCAACGCAATGTATTAATGCCTACTACAAATATTTTGGTATCCACATATGTACGTACGTATCACAATGGTTCAAACTCGTGCTTAATAGGTTATATAAACCCATGTTATAAAGAGGTTTTTACGCATTGATAGAGGAAAAATTATTGCATACGGACACGGTCAGGATGTATTTGGGTTTTTTTTTTTAAATTTTAAGTGGGACCCACCGAAATCTATCCTGAATGATCTACGGTCCGAATCGGACACCGCATGCATCTCTGTATGCGGTGTACATATGCAATAATTTTTCTTGAGAGAGTCATAAATTTTTCCTAAGAGTGGCACAAATTGTCTTTCTAAAAAATTTCCTAAATGTTTCATACAAGCTTAAAATTAACATTGGAGGGTTATTTTTCCCTTTTTTTTTGGGTAGAACTCGCTATTATTAAAAGATATAATATATGATAATTAACATAGTTATATTTAGTAACAACTAATCTTTTTATTAGGAATGTGCTGAATGATTATCTCATTATGGGTACTATCCAATCATTCCTTCTTTTGATATAAGGAGACTAAGATTTTGTACAAGTAAATATGAGAGCTTAGATGTTAAATATAAAAATACATAAAATTAATGTAATAAGTAGGTAAATCTTTCAAAAATAATTTAAATGTTTTAGAATGGTGTACAACAAAAATATTTTGAAAAATGTAATAGAGGAATATTGAAATTTTATTTTGATTATAACAAAATATCAAGGTTTTTTAAGTTTTCTTTAAATATTGGCTTAAATGTTTTTAAAATAAAATTTTTGAATATAATTGATTAAATTGAATGAATTTGTTTTAAAAAAAAACATTAAATGATTTTTTTTAAATTAAAAATTAGAAATTATTTGAGTAAAATAAAAATGATAATTTAATACTTAAAAAAAATTTGGATAATAAAGATTAAATATTATTTTTAACCTTAGTTTAGAAGTTGAATTAACTCATCTAGTTAACTTAGATAATAATACTCAACAGGGGAACTCTTTTGAGCATGCCTGTCAAGTTCAATTAACATGAATTGTACTACCAAAGCCCCATGAGCTGACATTAATATTTCTTTTTTTTTTATATAAATTATTTATTGTAAGTTTGACTCAAATACAACTAAAATGCTCACATGAAGACCGTAAGAAATAAATTTAGATACTCTAAGTAGAAGGCTTGATGAATATAAGCTTTTTGATTTTTTATTGTGGACTCATTTATGCTTATACAATGAGTTAGCCCATAATTGCTTTCTTCAAGAATAAGAGAGGATCTTAACTGTTAGTCATCTTAATATAGTTCATTGTTATCTAATGTTCTTCCATTGAGGTAATGGATTCCTTGGCTTACACTTTCACAAGCTAGGTTGAGAATTAGCACATATATACATAGTTTGTGCAAACCAAAGCAATGTTAATGCTAACCCTAATGGGATACTTAGTTCTGCTTGAATTTTGGTTGAATCTATACTCAAACTATTACTATCTACTGAGAGTACGAGATTATGACTCTCAATATCGACCGTTTCATATTTCCATTTTTTTTATTTACACAATAAAGTTAAATTCAGGAGGTTCAAAGAGAGGTTGGCCACCACTAAGATATTATAAAAAGTTACTGAAAGCAACCTTGGAAATCAAAACATCATGCATAAATCATTGATATAACCTATACTATTAGCTTATTATCATCCGACATAGAAGACGTTATAGCAAAATACTTGTACAGATAAGTGGTTGTGAGAGAATAACTGATGGGAGAAGCACAAACACAAGGAAATTCATCAATCTTGCATCCTTCTTCCACCGGAGCCGGCCTCTCTTTGGCAGTTAAAGTAGATGGCTGCGACTGGCGAGCCAAGATTATTGAGCTCGGCAAAATCACGGGTGTTGAAATTTTGACGCCAGCCAGGGGCGTAAACTGTCTGTCGGCCTAGTTGATGAAACAACACGAAGACAAAACGGTGTATGCCTAGACTTGGGCGTGGGCTCTCATAGCACACTATTTCACTTCCTGCAATCACAACAACAACACATTAATTTTTCTAGCATGTTCACAAAGTTATAAAATGGTAAGTTTACACACACACACACACACTTACCGAATGTTGCTGTTGTTGTTGCAGGGATATCCGTGACTAACCTGTGTCAAAACATTTTGGATAATAAACTAAATTAATTCTCATGTAACAGTCATACTAGAATTTTGTGTTATGATTGAGAAGAAAGAGGATGTTTGATGAAATAAATGATTTTGATGTTTACCATCATACGAGCTCCTATTTCGAGTGTTATGTACATAAATCTTTCTTAAATTTATTCTTTTTGTTGTGAATAAATAAAATTTAATATTGTTTATTTACATTATTTTTATTCCAAATAAAGAGGAAACACAACTCCAACTTGAAAAAAAAATGATGCATGTTAATATTAAACAAGAGTTAATGTTTTGTATATAGACAAAGTGAAATTTTACATAGTATATTGGAAAAAAGGCTATATATTTGGATTTGGAATGAATCTTTCCTTTCTTTTTTTCATTTTTTCTTATTTTTGAAGAGATAATATCACTAGGTTACACTCCCAGTTAATGACTTAAACATTCTATTTGAATAGAAGGAATAGAAGGATATATCAACTGAATTGCAATATATCTTACTCTTTTTTAACAAACTAATCATAATAAATATTTATAACCTTATTCTCAAGTAAATACACTATACCGTGAATAGGATGTGATTTAGTCAGATTTCCCCTGCAAATTGTTTCAATCTATGATCCTTTCAGCTGCGGTAATTTCTTAGAAATTAGAATGTCTATGCATTTGGGTGTGTGCCTACCACCACAACCCTCTTTCAAGAGCAGGAGTGCAAAAATTTGAAATAGCTTTTACAACGATGCAAATATAATGGTCGTAGCATGATCAAATCATCTTGGACTTTAAGCATTATCTTATAGGTGGTAGTTTATAGGATAATTTGCCCAGCTTGTAATTTGATCTCCAAATCTGGATCCAACTATATTTTTTGAATCATTTCGGTTTTAATACTTCAGCAAAAGCTGATCATAATTAGACCCCAATTTATTAAATTTATTAAAGATAATATAGTAAATGCATAATCAATTAAAATATATATCATGCTCATCATTCATAAATTCATCAATTTTAATTTCAGTCCTTATAAAGTTTTGATTAGTATATCATTCTTTACATTATGGCATCCTTGTTCTTTTTTCTTCCCCACATTCTTAACAAAATAGTAATATAGGAAGCAATAAGAACAAATAAATAAATATACATAAGTCTAAAGATAGCCGCGTACACTAACTGTAACAGCATAAATGCACAAAAGTTACAAAAGACAAGCAGGCAAAGTTGTTAGTAGACTACATCTCCTAACCACTTTTCTTCACAGTAACTCCAACTAATTAAAACTGATACAGAGAGAGAGTGTGTGTATTCCTTATTACCAGTGTAAGTATTCTCTAAGTTGAGGATCACTTGGACTTGGAGCATCTGGATCTACCATGACCTGCCACAAAAACATACAAATATGATCCTTGGGAACCAAATTAAAAACAAAAAAAGGGAAAAGAAAAGGTTCCAATTGTATTTTTTTTTATGCTGATGAGCAACAATGAATTGGCTAGCTAAATTACAAGAGTGTAGAAAGTCCGGAGATCATTCCCACCAACTGTAACTCTGGGCTGCTCCACAACTGCTGAGGGCTTAAATTCTAAGCCATTACCGACAACTCTTGAACCGTAACTAACTCTGAGAGAAATTCTTCTTGTGAAGGGATCAAGTATATCTCCTATCACTCTTCCAACAATTAATGTTTCTGTCTCTCTATTCATATCCATGTTCTTTAGTAATGTTGAAGTCCTGGGATTGAAGTGAGAGAAGTGTGTGTGGGAGATTTGAACTCTCTCCCTCTTTATATGCGCTTGCTTGCCGACGGGATGAATGATAGGACGTAAATTTAGGCTCCATTCGAGACACTTTATCTGCTGCGGCGACATTTTGAAAGCGACGCCTCACCGTTTTGAAAACTGCGTTTGATCAGCTTATCCGAAAATACAGTTGGTTTTTTATACTAAATCCGGAATGCGAGTCAAATCCTGCGGTCCGCATTTTCAGATAAGCGACTTATCTGAATAAGCACAAGAAAATTTTGATCAAGCTAACCCAAACACATGCATAATTAGAAAATAGTAATACGTCACTGTTCAAAAGTTTATTGTTATTTCAATACAAATATTTTCAATTAATAAAAGAGATCATGATTCTACAGTGGCCTAAAATAAGAAGACTGTTGTAAAAGTACGATTTTTATGCGCAGGAATCATAGTAATAGATTTAGAAAGATTCAGAGGTACTTCGATGGCGGCATCAACATCGCTTAAAAATTTCATCATAATGATTCAAATATTAATATATATCATTCTCATCATTTATTTTTGAAAAGAGTATGATTATTGTCAGTTTATGAAAGATTTTATTTTTTGGAGGATTATTATGTACAAGTAGCCTTCCAAGAGAATTTAATTGCAATTATGATTATCATTTCAGTTTGCAAAGAATTAAACTCTAATTTTTATGCAAAAATGACAAAAAGCACCTTATCGATGGTCGTCGTTCCATTAACCTACTGCTTACAACCATCAAGTTGTACAAAAAAAAGTGAAAAATTATCAAATAATTGTTGGAAAGCTGTAAAAAAGAAATGTAGCATGTAAAAAAAGATAATAAAGAGCATTTTTTGTTTTATTACAATTTTCGTATCAACGATCGTAACTTCGATGCAAATCTAATTATATATCGCGCAACATAATGTATCAATTCAAATAGTTATTATGGCAAAATCAAATGAATGAATGCTCAAATTAAATATAAAAAAAATATAATGTATTGAAATAAAGAACTAAACTATTTGTGCGTAAACTAACGTGTTAGAATTGTCTCATAAAATAAATAGAAATAAAAAACTGCCCAAACCGCCCACTGTGCCCTCATTTTCCTCTTCTTCAATATCCCCCTCTAGCGATTGTTTTCCTCTCAAGCCTGCTCGACACTACAACACATTTAACTCTACTTTCTTTTTACTATCTAATTGAGACTTCAGTTGAGCGAGCTAGGCAACAACACGGGTCTCAATATCTATTGTAAATGCGAAAACCTGCCTATAAACTACTTCCTCAAGTGCAGTAGAAAAAGATACACTGAATGTGCTAGCAGAGTGATGAATGTTCCAGGTTTGTGCCTGAGAACCCAATCCATAGGCCATTCTCTTCTTCTTACCTCTAGCAGTCTCTCTCCAGAACTCATAGTTGAATGGATCATGACCTGGGATCGTAAGTCCTCCTGAGCACTTGTTCCCACTCTCCTTCATCTATTGAAAGATTTATTACAAGAAAATTATTAGAGAAAGTAAGCCGTAAAATTAAATTAAATTAAAAAATTATTTGAATGGCTTAAAAATTACTCTTTTGGTTAATATGGGTCAGCTGGGATTTGTTTCAACCAAAGTGTGGTCTGTACTATTTATGGGTACATACATGTAACTCGAAAACGGCGGGCTCTTGTCCCAACTCTAAGGTCTACCAAGATAAGAAAACAATTAGTATATATTTATTTTACAGTAAGATTTAATGCACAAATTAACTCTTACCAGCTTTCTCATATGCTCGGACTGTAGGAGTGCCCTACTAGTATGCTTCGAAATGACCATCCTCCACAGTCATAGCATTGATTACCTTTGGCCTATTGACTCCTCTTTCAATAATTTGGAGCATCCTAGTCCACTTGAAATGCTTCAAAAACATCTTCCCTAATCCAAAAGGCCGCTTATTTGTCTACTGTACCTCTCTGAACTAGTCGAGAAGATGGTTGCGCTCTTTGTGCCTCAAGATTCTCCTAATGTATCTATCATGCTTAGAGTGTGAGGAGAACTACTTCTATAAAATGAATTTAAATGTTTGATAATATGTATGTGTGTGTATGTATGTGTGTTAAATTTCTCAATTTTGTTTTGTCTAAATGCATTTTTATTTTGCCTGAAAGGGTGTTCAACATGTAAAAACTTACAATGACAGTTCAACTATAAAATTTTTCTTCCTTATCGAAGCAAAAATGCTTTTTACAAATCCATATAATATGAGCACACTAACTTCTCCGCAGTGCTCCATCTAGATAATATTTCATAAGAAAATTAGTTATCGTCGACATTAAATATGCTTTCATTAGAGAGCTTTTTTTTTTATAGAAACAACATATGTGATGACACATATTTTTTAAGAATTTGAAGCTCGTTTGTCAGCAGGCGTAAATATATATCAATTCTTATTTTGGGCTATTGTAATTTTGAAAAATCATTGTCAAAAAGAAGAAAAGAGTTGTCATATACATCTTAGGCGAAAGATTATATAGAGTTAAGATCACTAGCTAACAAGAAGAGTTAGGCGATGCAGTATGACTATACAATATGAATTTATAAAAATATTAGCCAAGTCTAAATTATGTGTCTTTACAATAAATTCATAATATGTACAATGAAAATGTTTTTATACTTCAGATTATTTGAGATGACACATTGAATTGATATTTCCTGATATACTACAATGTCAACACATGTTGAGCTATACACATAGAATAAAATAGTTTTTGAAGATGTGAAATAAGTGCCAGATAAAATACTAAGCTTGTATTGAACTTATTTATGCCTTCTAATTTTTTTTATTTTAAGGTTTGAATCTAGGAGGCTCAAAACCAACACCGAGTCTCTGTTGCATCAGTTATAATATAACAAGTACTTATTTACACAACAATAAATTTTCTATGATTTAAAACCTAACTTGAGACTAGCTTTTTTTGTTCCGTATAAGTCTTGTGGAACTAAATTTTTCTTAGGATTTATTTTTTTTTAGTAATCCTGTAATTATTGAAGTACTCTCGATTTATGTTAAACTCTATATTAATTTTCAGTATTCTGAGAGATATAGATGATTCAAAATGAGATGGACAACTTTTCTGTAGTTTCTTGGTGTCACATTCAATAATTCATAAGACATATGAGCTTATGACTTTGGTGGCTCTTCCACCACTTGACTTGGATAATAAAAAACTATTCCATCTAAGAATATTCTAAAAATCTACCAGAGTGAAATTCGGGTTGAGAATCAGAGCTCATTGAAGGAGCATAATGAATTGAAGGGTCAACCTCGTCGTGTGAAGTTCACCACCAATAATTAGGTTGGAATCCTTAATGGTATAAATCATGCTTGGCTTTGTCTGACATTAAATATGTTTGATTCTTATATTTTGAACATGTATACTGAAACCTATTCTCAAATAGGTAATTTAAAAGTTGAGATGTCACTTGCACGAGTGCCATTACACTGTTCAAGAACACTTCAGTGAGTCTTTTTCTAAATAGATATAGTATATTGTACATCCATGATATTAAGGAAAGAATATCTATAGACAACTAATATATTTGATAAAAGAATTCATAAACCCTAAACCAAATAGCTAAAAGGCTTGCATACTACACACATAACACTCAAAACTGTAATATCACAAAAAAAATATCAAACTTATAACTTCTTAACAGTTAAAGTTTTTCTTTAAAGGCTTACTAAAATTGAAAGTAAGTACATTTTAAGTGTAAGAACTTAAAAATTGTTAAACCTTGGCAAAATTGGGAGTTGAGGGGGTGCCGTCGGCTTGAGAGCCGACGGCACGCGCCTGAGAAAGAATGAGAAATTTAGGTTATCGGTTTGATATATCCAATGTTTTCGATAGCATTTCAACCTTTCTTACCATCAATTTATAATTTTTTATTAACTAATGGGCTTGACCTTTTAGTTAAACTCCATGACCTTCTGTTACTAATTGGATAAAAACCTATGGTTAGAATTTTCAAATACCAATGACCATTAATTTATGATTTTCTAATAACCTACGGGTTTAACTGCCAGTGAATATTTTGAGAAAAATTGGTTCTCAATTTGCTTAAAATTGACGGTTTTGTAAGTAGGAAAGCCGTCCGTCATCTTGAGTCTCTTTTTAAAATAAAAAAACCCAAACACAATCGGCCATCAATTATGCCACTATTTTTTGCTACATATATATATATACACACACACACATATATATAAAACCATATATATATATATATATATATATACACAGTTCATAAAACCATATTTATTGATTGTGCTTATATTTGAAAGCATTTATTTTGGACATTCAAGGTGGTACATATTACTTCTATATTGTAGAATTTATAAAATAGATATCTCAGCAAGTGTTTCACTAAATCATGTTGAATGATTTTATTATGAATGTTTGTTGAAGTGACTTAGGATACACTCCTAGCGTCTTAGCTAAGATAAAAAGAGTTAATAATCAAATGATCATTGACTACGTTTTTGGCACAATTAATATGAAACTAGACCATAATTAGTGTTTTTATTAGCTACGGTAAACTAGACTTACTTTGATAAGATGAACATGCTATTGAATGATCCTAATTAATTTAATGCACATTAAACTAATTTAGTAAAAAAAAAAGCACATTTTCGACCTTGAAGCATCTAAGTAAGAAGGAAGAAATCATAAGTTTTGTTGGGAATATGATCAATAAATCAGAATGAAAAAGGCTAGATCAAGTAGAGTTCCATTGGTACTAAGGTTTACCCAACTTAGCATAGAATAACTAAGGATAAAGATTAGTGATATCACTAATCTTTGTACGTAAAGTTTACTAAAAGTGAGGCCAACACAAGTCCATGTTTGAATAGAGTGGCTTGATTATCTATATATTACTTATATATAAAAAAAAAGCTTGTCGTATTTTAAAACAAGCTATCAACGTGTGT